CAGCCACCTGATAGACTTATCCTTTATGAATCTATCTAATCCCTTTATAAAGCTTTTTTTTTTTTTGTGGCCACCACTACACCCTCTGGCAGCGAATTCCACATTTCAATGATGTGTGTTTGGAAGGGGGGTTGATTCTAATGGTTTTAAATTGTAAGTTTACCATGGCCCCGTTCATACGAGGCGTTTTGGGCCAGGAGTGGGCCGGATTGGAAGCACAGCAAATGGGTGTGATCCCACACCAACATCTGGCTGGCGTTGCGCTCCCGTCTCCGATCCGGCCCTTCCCCCGATGGCGCGATTTAAAACTGAACCACCTACCGAGGTGGTTCATCTCGCCGAGGCGCCGCAAGCCGGGCCGTCTGATCGCCGGTGCATCTTTGCACCGGCGCATCCCCAGCTCCCAGCCGCACTGCGCATGCTCCAACATGCGCAGTTCGGCAGCCTCCCTGTCTGAACTGTGCTTTCTCCCCGGCATCTGATCGTGCTGGGGAGATAAGGCGCCGCGGCCCAGGGATCCTCCGCCTCAACTTTGGCATGGCTTTTAAAAGCAGCGCTTTTAGCGGCTTTTCCTCTGCCGTGTGGCAGGGGCCCATGTGCGTTTTAAATTCGTAGGTACCTTGTGTGTCCTCGTAAGGGCAGAAAGGTGGGTGACTTTGGGCCATTCACACACTCTCAGCCTAACTTACCTCACAAAGATGTTGTGAGGATAAAATGTTTGCAAGCCTCGTATGAACTATTTTATTGGGAGAGTAATTTTTACTCCAGAGTAAAAAACGATATGCAGTGTAACAGTCTTTGAGCTGGGTTTTGGGTTTGGTTTTTTTTGCAATAATCCCCAGTTGGGGGCAGGGGATCCCCTGGTTTGGATCCCCTCCCCCCTTTTTGAGCCCTTTCGCCCAATCCCTATAGGGTATAATGGAGAATCAATCCGTGGGTATCTGGGGCCCTGAGGGGCCCTGTTTTTTTGAGGTAGAGGCACCAGATTTTCAGCACAGCTGCAGGTGCCTCTCCAGAAGAAAACTGCCAAATTCCAAAAAGATCAGACCAGGGGTTCCATTTCTATGAGCTCCAAAACAAGGTGCCCCATCATCCATTATTTCCAATGGAGGGGACGTATTTAAAAGGAATGTGGTCCCTTTAAATGTGACGGCCAGAACACCCTTCATAGTTCAGTCGCCTTTCTCCTGGCTCCACCCCCAAAGACCCTAGATATTTCCTGAGTCGAACCTGGCAACCCTACAATTCACACCATAAAATCCAGTTGGAAAGTGGATTGAAAGTGGATTATTTAGTGTGCGTGATCGCAGCCTCAGTCTAGCCCTTTTGAAGAGCCAACTAAACGGATGATATTTGCCGCTGAGCTATTCTCATTAGGGATGTCCAATCTTGGTTTTTGATTTGACAAAGAGGCCTTTTAAATTTCCAGCATCGGTGCCAGCCCGTGATGTTGATGATGGCCTAATGGGTAGATGGATGTTGTCAACTGTTTCTTAATCAATAGCGCTGTAATTTTTATGGTGATTAATTGTGTGGACGTTTGTCTGGAAAGATGCTTTCTACTAATGTAATATGCTGCCATTGCCAGTCCCTGTAAATAAGCAGATAAGTTAATATCTTGACAGGCTCATCTTCCCTCCCCACTCGGGGCCTATCTGTTGTGCGGTTTGCTAGAAATCCAAATGGGAAGTTGTCATATTAAAAACTTTTGCTGAATCTTTCGGTGTCTCTCCAACCTTTCCACTGGAAAGTCTCTTGGCTTTTTTCTCTATCATTAGCTGTTGTAGATTTTCCGGGTTGTGTGGCCATGGTCTTGGCATTGTAGGACCTGACGTTTCGCCAGTAGCTGTGACTGGCATCCTCAGAGGTATAACACAGAAAGATGGAGCACTCTCTGTGCCAGAGGACTCCATCTTTCTGTGCTATACCTCTGAGGATGCCAGTCAGAGCTGCTGGCAAAACGTCAGATCCTACAATGCCAAGACCACGGCCATACACTCCGGAAAATCAACAACAGCTAATGAACTCCAGTTGTGAAAGTCTTGGACAACATTTTTTCCCCCTCTATCATCACTGATAACTAGGGTTGCCAGGTCTGGATTGGGAAATACCTGGAGATTTGGGGACTGGTGCCTGGGGAAGGCAGGTGTTCGGGGAGGGGAGAGACATCCGCGTGGGAGAATGAAAGAGAGTCCCCCCCTCCAAAGTAGCTATTTTCTCCAGGGGAACTGATCGATTGTCTGGAGGTCAATTGTAAATCGGGAGATCTTCAAGTACTACCTGGAGGCTGGTGGCCCTACTGATAACCTTTCCATTTAGGCTTTCTTGGAGTGAAGGGCTTTTCCCCTCTCCCTTTTTACATAAGAACATAAGAGACGCCAATGTTGGATCAGGCCAATGGCCCCTCCGGTCCAATACTCTGTCATACAGTGGCCCAAAATACCAGTGGGGCCAGGACATCAGAAGCCCTCCCACTGTTGACCCCCCCCCTCAAGCACCAAGAAGACAGAGCATCACTTGCACCAGAGCCCCTATCTATTTGTTGTTGTTGTTCAGTCGCACAGTCGAGTCCGACTCTTCGCAACCCCATGGACAAGATCTCGCCAGGCCCTCCTGTTTTCCGCCGTCCTCTGACATCCTCTATCTATACCTTGTGGCTAATAGCCACTGATGGACCTCTGCTCCATATGCTTATCTAATTCCCTTTTGAAGCTGTCCATGCTAGTAGCTGCCACCACTTCCTGTGACAGTGAATTTCATGTGTTGATCACTCTTTGGGTGAAGAAGGACTTCCTTTTATCCGTTCTAACCTGACCGCTCAGCAGAGGTCATTTCGGGGGGGATCGCGGGGGATCGCAGTCCCCCCGGGTGAGGTATGGAGGGCGAGGCACATGACGAAGCCCCGCCCCCTGCTTCCGGCCGCCCCGCTTCCCGCCCTCATTCAGCCAGAAGGAGGCAGGAGAACAGGGAGGGTAAGTTGCTTCCTCCCTGCCTCTCCCCACCCCTGCCTGCCTGGGGCCAGGGAGGGCCTTCGCGGGGCTTCCTTGCACTCCCGCCGGCCTTGCAGGTCCACCGCTGGGCCCCTCATGGGGCTCGGCAGTGGAGCTGCAAGGCCGGCGGGGGCGGCCGGGACCGTTGGGGGCGGGATGTGTGGCCTTATGACACACTTCTGGTGATGGCAGGGGGTGTGGCCTTATGACACACTTCCGGTGATGGCAGGGGGTGTGGCATATGCGAATGAGTTATGCTAATGAGTTCCCCTAGCTCTTTTTCTACTAAACGACCCCTGCCGCTCAGCAATTTCATTGAGTGCCCACGAGTTCTTGTATTGTGAGAAAGGGAGAAAAGGACTTCTTTCTCTACTTTTAATGCTAGTGGGCTTGTCAGTTACTGATTCCCCCCCCGAAAAAAAAAATAACCTGTAGGTTTTTCTTTCTCCCAACAGAGCAAGGACCCAAGGCGGTTGAAAACAATTGATACATTACAAATATATATATTTTTGTATATGTTGTATATTATTGTATATCATTATATTACAGGGGGTCCCAACTTCTTTGAGCCTCTGGGCACCTTTAGAATTCTGACATAATGTGGTGGGCGTAGACACAAAATGGCTGCCACAGAAGGCAGAGCTAACCACAAAGTGGCTACTGCAGCTTACCTTCAGTCACACAGTGACAATCCTTGTGGTGTGGGGGCAGCAGATAGAAGCCCTCCAGTGGGAGCAGCAGGGGAACCCCCACTTTCGCAGGCTCTTGCCCACCGCCAGCCAGCTGAAAATCCTGCCCCCAACTGATCTTTTGGGGCCTACTTCCAGTCTTAGGCCTACTTCTGGTCGGGATGACACTCTGGCTTTTGGGCCAAACTCTGTGGTTTGAAGCCAAAGTTACCATAGAGTTCTGCCCAAAACCCAGAGTGTCATCTAGGGTTGCCAAGTCCTATCTCCCCCCCCCCAGCAGGGAGCTTTGGGGGGTTCACTCCCAGCAGGGGGCTTTGGGGGACGTTCCTGGAGGGGGCGGGGCATCCCTGACATGATGATGTCACATTGGGGATGTCCCCCCCTGCCTGTCTGCCCGCCCGACAGGGGCGCCGGCTCCCTGCAGTTAAAGGGGGCCCCTGATCTTCGCAGAGGTCAGACCGATCTTCGCAGAGGTCACACACGTGGGGAAATGCCGGCTCCCTGCAGTAACTGCAGGGAGGCGGCATTTCCCCGTGCCCGATCGGCTGGCCAGCAGCCACCCCTTTCCCTCCTCTCTCTCAAGAGAGAAGGGAGAGGGGTGTTGGGGCTTGGTGGCGGGGCTTCCCCTGGCGGCCAGCTGGCTGCCGGCGGGTAGAAGCCCCCGAAAAGCAGAGTACCCCTGCCAAACCGGAGGGTTTGGCAACCCTAGTGTCACCCCCAACTGGAAGTAGGCCAGAAACTGGAAGTAGGTCCAAAATGCCCAATGTCACTTCTGGTCTCCCGGAAGGATGTCAGGAGATCCCCACTGGCCGGGTAAATTAACCTTGCAACCCTAGAAGTGATGGTGGTTGCTCTACGAACCAACAAAAACACTATGGTGTCCCCCGGAAGTGATGTCATCCCATGGGAGACATACTCCTCTATCCCCCCCCCCTCCTGCTGGTCGCCAGGCTCAGCCTGGTAACTCTATCTGTTGCAGATCCTATCTTCAAAAAAGTCTGAGATGCAGTAACAGGCTGTAGCCCTGACGTGGATAGCCCAGGCTTGCCTGGTTTTGTCATGTCTCGGAAAACAGCTGTGATTTGAATAGCCCCCAAGGTGGTAATTTCAGAGGGATAAGACAGTAGCATGGCAATTCACCAGGTTTCAAAGGCTATCTTGTCAAGTCCCTGGGCAGGTTAGATGACTGATGACCTTTGTCGTCAGATGATCTTGGAGACAGGTGGGTGTCCACGTAAGGGCTGCATCACAGACTGTATGGGACACCTCATTCTCTCCCCAGTGGTCTTTATTCCTTATGTTGTTGTGTTTTGTTCTGCAGGACGTGTCCGAAAGGGTACATCTGCCACAAGGCCGGTGAGAATCCTGACTACGGCTTCACAAGCTTTGATACTTTCGGCTGGGCCTTTCTCTCCTTGTTCCGCCTCATGACGCAGGATTGCTGGGAACGCCTCTATCAACAGGTAGAAGATGCATTGGGTGATGTGGGAAATGAGAACTCATGCCCCGTTCGTAGTCTGCTTTTTAAATGAGAGAGAAAAAGAGCGATGGGCTTCTGCTCCATATGCTCTTTAAATGAAAAAGAGCGACGAAACATGGAATTCACTGCCACAGGAGGTGGTGGTGGCTACAAGCATGGACAGCTGCAAGAGAGAATTAGATAAGCATATGAAGCAGAGGTCTATCAATGGCTCTTAGCTATGAGGTATAGATGGAACACTCTATCTGGGGTAGTTATGGTCTTTGGTGCTTGGGGGGCAAACATGGGAGGGCTTCTGGAGTTCTGGCCCTGCTGGTGGACCTCCTGATCCAACATGACTTCTCTTAGGTTCTTTAGTTCTGCATTCTTGGTGCTTGGGCAGCAACAGTGAGAGGACTTCTGGAGTTCTGGCCCGCTGGTGGACCTCCTGATGACACCTCAGTTTTGGCCACTGTATGACAGAGTGTGGGACTGGATTGGTCTGATCCAGCATGGCTTCTCTTATATTCTTCTAACAGTGCCATCTTATCTGAAAATGGATGAGATACAGGCTGTCTAGGCTAAGTTACTGTCTTAAATTCCAAGTGAGTTATTTAATTAAACCATTTATTTACCACCTTTCTACTCTGCAGAACTCAAGGTGGCTTCCCATGTAAATAAAACAACAATTATTAGAGGAGGGCAGGGAGCTGTTCCTATTGGCAGCAGAGGATAGGACTCTCAATAATGGATTTTAATTAAGGGCGGGAAGGTACCGGCTGGATATTAGGGAAAAAGTTTTTTTACAGTATGA